TTAGATGCTTATACAATTCCATAGACTTATAGAATAATATATAAATGAGTGTAATAAATATCTGTAATTCAATAGTATAAGAGCAAGATTCAAGCAGCTAGATTTTATGGACAAATACAGATGATTCCAGCAAGTGCCATATTTTGAGAGAACGTATTGTGGAGCATCAGAAATAGAAGACATTGAATATCTACCATTGATTATTAATTATATTTTTTTCTTTTATTTATTTATTTATTTATTTATTTATTTGTTTGTTTGTTTGTTTTTGTCAATTGCTTACAAGATAATAGGTATAAGTAAAAACATAGTTATGAATACATGGATACATATAAGAAAAATAAAAAAAATAAAAGAAACAATAGGACAGGGACGGTACACATGTTGGTGTGCTTATGCACGCCCCCTACAGACCTCTTAGGAAAGGGGTGAGGTCAGTCGTAGACAGTCTAAGGTTAAAGTTTTTGGGGTTTGGGGAAGAAACCACAGAGTCAGCTAGAGTATTCCAGACATTGACCACTCTGTTGCTGAAGTTGTATTTCCTGCAATCAAGTTTGGTGCGATTAACTTTGACTTTGTATCTATTGTTGTCTCCTGTGTTGTTATGGTTGAAGCTGAAGTATTCATTGACAGGGAGGACATTGCAATGTATGATTTTATATACTATACTTAGATCGGACTGAAGGCGGCATAGTTCTAGGTTTTCTAGGTCTAGAATTTCGAGTCTGGTGGCATAAGTTATTCTGCAACGAGTAGAGGAGTGGAGAACTCTTCTTGTGAAATATTTCTGGACTTTTTCAACTGTATTAATATCAGTTTTGTAATGTGGGTTCTAGATTGTTGAGCTGTATTCAAGTATTGGTCTAGCAAATGTTTTGTATGCTCTAGTTAGTAGAATGATATTACCAGAGAAAAAGCTTTGTAGGATTGGGTTAACAACTTTTAATGCCTTTTGGCTATGTAGTTACAGTGGGCTCTAGCACTTAGATCATTTGAAATGAATACTCCAAGATCCTTGACAGAGTTTGGATCATGAACAAGGTCTTGACAATTCAGCTTGTATTTTATTTTCTGATTTTTTTTTGCCAATATGTAAGACAGAGCATTTATTCGTTGAGATTTGAAGTTGACATTTGTTTGACTGTTCTGATACATAGTCGAGTCATTCTACTTCTATTTGCAGGTCTTTGTATTTTGTGATTTTCTCCAGTTCTTTCTCTTCTATTCTGCAGTCTCCAGGTATTACCATGTCCACTCTCCTGTTTTTCTTTAAATATTATTATTTAAAATAAGGACTTGAAAGCCAGACTTTTTTTTTTTTTGGTAAACAGCTTTTTAACTTTGGATCTGACTCCCTATACGTGTGTTCTTTATGATTCCTCAACCAACCTTTGGACTAGTACAAGAGTAGTCTTCACTCTTGATTCCTAGAACTTGCATTTTTTTTCCCCCAGAGGTGAATTTTGGTTTCTGAAATAAACATGTTTGCTTTCCTTTCTTGAATTTCAATTGCTGTCACAGGACAAGTTCATGAGATGCATGGCAGGACCTGTCTTTCAGAACTACAACATGTATTTCTTATTGGGAACATGTGCAATCATCTCAGCCACTTAAACAAAAGAGGCTTCTTCATTTTCTTTTATTGCTGGTTATCAGGGCTTATATTAAGGCTGGAGGAGGTTTCCTTACAACCAATGGCATCAGGGTGGGATATAGTCTTGTAGATGAATGGATCTGTTTACGTTTAACAAAATTTAACTCTGTTAAGTTCGTTCACTGGGTCAGAATAACAGAGTTGGAAGGGACCTTGGAAATCTTCTAGTCCAACCTCAAGCAGAAAACCCTATATCATTTCAGACAAATGGTTGCCCAATCTCTTCTTAAAAACCTCCAGTGTTGGAGCACCCACAATTTCTAGAGGCAAGTTGTTTTACTGATTAATTGTTCTATTAAATTAAACCTTCTTGGATGTTTTACAACCTAATCCCTCGTGTAGTATGTCATGGGCCAAAATAAAGTTCTGTAGATATTACAGGCAAACATCTGTATAAAAAGGCAAATTATCACATAGCAAAGTATGCAATTATGACAATGGCTGAAAAACCCAAAGAGTCACAAAAACCTGCTAATATGGATAACGTAGAAATTGCTGATTTAACATCATTTCTGTATCCTTTGCTATCCCTAGTGTTTTACTTAATTTGTATTGTTTATAGACCTAAACCTGACTGTACTCAAGAAACTAACATCTGCTACCATAATTACATGCACTTGCTGATTACACTGGCTTGGCTTTTACAACAAATACTGGCAAAATGCCTCATCCTTTTACAATAATTACAGTTAGCCTTCTGGGCAAGACATCCTATATAACTTGTAAATTGCTGCATAATCGAATCAATGATTTTCAACCAATGTCCTTTTTATAAATGTCTGTCTTATAATGAAATTTTCCTGCAAGAGATCAGCTGTTTGCACTTACAATTTCCCCTCTCAAACTCTATTTTGGCTTTTGTCAGGAATGTCCCAACCCAGATCAATTCCTAGAACTTTCTCAGTATCCATTCTCTATGAAATGTAAGAAAGAATAAACCAGCTATAAGGGCAGCTAATCTATTTGTTCAAGGCTGAAGCTTGCAAACTTGATATTGTGCAATGTGAATGAGCTGCTAAGATAGATCTGGTTCCATAAGGGTCTCTCTGCTGAGATGCTCTGGAACTATAGCAATCCTGGGGAACCAAACATATCTTTTACTTTGTTGTTCAATAAAGGCATTGATTTCACTATATGCATTATTTACTGTTGCTCTGCCACTTCTTCAGTACATTTATTTGTGTTATTTATGTACAGGGCTTATACATTGCTCCAGTCTGCTGACTGAGCAGTGTGAAACTCCTAATTCTTAATTGGGATTAGAATGATCCAATCAGAGGCCATGGACATTAATGAAAGAATTCTAGTCTCTTAGTCAAGAAGCATTTGCAATAATCCAATCCCTCCCCTCTTACAATTCTTCCAAATAAACTCTACTATCTCCTGAAACTTCTTAATTTCCCAATCCTTCATTTTGATGGTGTCATGGCAACAGTTCCCTCCCATCAGTCAGATCCATTGATTTGCACCTTTTCCAATCCAAAATAGCCTCTTTAATTCCTAACATTTCTCTCTCCCTCAATCAGACCCCATTGGGGAGTTAGATCCCATTGTGCCCAAAGTAAATATGTGAAAAAAATAGCATAATTTGAACTTTGAGATTCTTCTATCACAACCCCCAAATTGTTAAGCTTAGAATTCATATGCTGAGAATTAATTCATATACATAGATCTTTCTGCCTTGCTTATTTGTTTTTTTTCCTGGTAGCATCGTATTTTGGATGGGATGTGGGCCAATATATTCTTAGTACAGTAATTCTATATCTTCTTTACTCAGGGAACAAATTGTTAATTAAACATTAAAATGTTATTTAACAATAGCCCTAATGAACCTCTAGTATAGGGTATAAGTTGTTTCATTTTCAAAAATATACCAATGAATCTATGCTGATTACTTTTGATTACTTTCAAAATGAAGAGTAAATTTGTTATAGGCAATTTGCACAGGTTTCACAGGTTCTCCCTTCTTTGTATATATTCCTCCCTTTAGATGCTATTGCCTTTTTTATATTAACCCTATCCAGCATTTAATTGCTATCCTTTTTATTAAATTTTTAAAGTTTTATTAGCTTTATAGGTGAGAATTAGCTAGTTAACTCTTAACTCTCATTCTGAAGTGACAACCAGACAGCTATGTTAAAGTACGAACTATTAGCCCTTGTGCTTGAAGAATAGTAGGTCAGCTCATATTACACCTTAGTCCTTGTTGTCAGTGACTTTTCTGTCTCAGTGATGAGACCAGAAAATACTTCTGTCCTCCCTGTTTTAATATGAAACAAGGACAGCAATCTTTTTAACCTTGTTCTACCAAATATTGCCTGCCACGAGGAAGAAAACACAAACCACTATCTCTTTTCTTAATTGTGATAGGGCAATATTTTGTGTCTCATGGGTCTTTTAAAGGTGGGTTGTCCTAATGACAAGTCACAGGTTGGACTTCTGCAAAGTCCAGCCCTGATTAAGGCTCCTCAGGGGTAGGATTCTACCAGTTCGCACCTATTCGCTAGAACCGGTTGCTAACATTCTAAGCAGTTTGGAGAACCGGTTGTTAGAAGAAATTACTGGCCTAATCCTGTAAGGAAGGCAGGAAGGAAACATTCTAAACATTCAAAATTACAATGGCACTGGAAAAAGTGACTTTTGGCCATTTTTCATACTTACAACTGTTGTAGCACCTCCACAGTCATGAGAGGCCAGGTGAGGAGATGCGTGCCTCGATGTGAGTGATATTGAGTTGGCCACGCCCACCCAGTCACATGACCACCAAGCCACACCCACCAACCAAGCCACACCCACAGAACCAGTTGTTAAAAATTTTGAATCCCACCCCTGAGCCTCCTTGATTGTTATCCATATCAAAAATTATTTCAAGAGAAGAAAAGACCTTAAAACTGGAACAGCTAAAGTCAGTTTTAGACTGCCTCGGCTATGGACTGGGACTTAGAGAGGCAATGTAGCCAGCCTTTAGAAGTAGTCTAGCCAAGAAAGAGCAACCAGAAGTACTAACGGTACCTTTATTAGAAGGATACACTAACAAAATGTTGCAAGTCTGAAAATACAACTCTGCCCCCTCACTTTTGCAGTCCTAGAAACTAGGGAGGGTTCCTTCTGAAACATTTGCAGGAGTGGGCTGCTAGCAGTTGTGGGATACAATTTTTTTTACTACCAGTTCTGTGGGCGTGGCTTGGTGGGCGTGGCAGGGGAAGGATACTGTAAAATCTCTAGTCAGAGTTGGTATTTGCTGGTTTTCCAAACTACTCAAAATTTCCACTACTGGTTCTCCAGAACTGGTCAGAACCTGCTGAATACCACCTCTGGCTACTAGGGATTCGCAGGAGTTCAGGAGATTCCCCTAGCTAATATTCTGCACAGTTCGGAGAATCCCCAAATCCCATTCCTGGCTAGCCCCGCCTACTCCACCACTCCCATGAGTCCCCACGCAGCCTGTTTTGGATGCAGGTAAGCGCAAGGCACGCATGAAGATTCAGGGAGGGTGAAAAACAGGGCTCGGGAAGGCCAGAAATTGACCCATTTCCGGCTTCCAGAAAGACTCCAGAGCCTGGAGAAGCCATTTTTGCTCTCCTGGAGGCTCGATGAAAGCCTCAGGAAGGGCAAAATCACACACACCCGCCATGGTGCAGGAAGCTGACTAGGCCACGCCCACCATGGCAACACCCACCCAGCAACTGGGCAGAGAACCTGTTGCTAAAAGTTTTTGAAGCCCACCCCTTATTCCAGTACAAAGTTTGGACCCGAAGCAAATAAGATTTCCCTTAAACAAACCTAGTAGTGGAGATGATCATCAGGCTTGTGTGCACACCTTCCATTATCTCAATCTACTCATCAGAGACTTCTCATAAGAAATGTTGGGATGTTCCTCAATATCTATATTGTGTCTTGATAATCATCCATTCTCTTGTCATTACTTCTATAGTGACTTTTTAGATAAAGTATTGATAATAAATTGATTATATTTGGTGCTTGCATTTCCTTGCAGCAACACAGTCAGAAATAAGAACAGGATCAGATCTGTGAATTGAAGTTTTATGTAGCATGTGTAGGATTTTCAGTGCATGATTTTTCTTGCTATCCTATGAGCAGTCATCCTTTGGCACAGCAGAAAACTAAATGAGCCTTTTTAAAAAGGACAGGTGACTTTGACTCTAGATGTAAACTGTGCCAAATAAAGCAAAATACATGGTGGTGAATTTGGATTGTCATCCAGAACATAAGCCAATGAAGTGTGTGACTGACCTAATTAAAGAGATTACAAATTGCATCCTGACAATGTCATACAAAAGTGGTTACTAGGGCATGTTCACGCCATAGTTGGGGGATGAAGATGAGTTCTAAAATGATATTTCATCACATCCTAATTCAAAAGATCTATTTTCCGACTTGGGATTTAGAGCCACGAAAAGTCACGTTTTAACCAAAAAGTCTCTTCTCTTGTTTTAATGTGGTCTTTCAGTAAGAAGTGCTATACATTATTTTCTGTGTATTTTACATGCACAGGCAAAAGGGATTTCTGCCTTCTCTAAAATGTTATAAAACATTTCTAAAATGTTAATTCTGTATAGGCAGGCATTATTGCAGATACTGAGAAGGAATGATCATCTAATAGTAATGCCTTGTGATGTGCTGATTGTGTAAGTGACAACAATGGACACTGCTTTTGACTAATAAAATCAGCATGTTTATTAAAGTTGGATCACTGACTTTTATTTTCCTTTTGTTTCCGTAGACACAGTGGTGGGATTCAGCCAGTTCACACCAGTTTGGGAGAACCAGTTGTTAACTTTCTGAGCAGTTTGGTGAACTGGTTGTTGGAAGAAATCATTAGGGCAGAGAGCCGGTTGTTAAATTATTTGAATCCACCACTGCGTAGATCAGGGCTCTCAAACACAATTTACCTGGGGGCCGCTGGAGGCAGAGGCTGGGTGAGGCTGGGCTGCATAATATTATACTTTATATTATACTTTATATTTATATTATACACTAATATTATACTTTCATATCATGGTGGGGGCCACAGGATATCATCCTGCAGGCCGCAATTGGCCCCCGGGCCACAAGAATGAGACCTCTGGCATAGACAGTATTGTTTTAAGAATTTATTTCTGCTATTCTCACAGAGGCATGATGGCCCAGTGGCTTAATGATGCTGGAGAAGGTCTGTATCCCAGTGGTTCAAGTCCTAGCACCATGTGACGGAGTGAGCTCCCATCACTTGCCTCAGCTTCTGCCAAACTAGCAGTCTGAAAGCCTGTTGCATACAAGTAGATAAATAGGTATTACTTCAGTGAGAAACAGTGGCACTTTGAGTGGCAATATGAATTCAACCTTTGCTGGACCTGTCCAAATGCAAAGTGACCGATGGTGGGAAAAACCCTGGGTGATGTTGCAGAATGCCGTCAAGCCTTCTGAGTGTGGAGTGAGCTTGCTCCCTGTGTTGCACTCTGGATAGTTTGTGAGCATGAACTGAACAATCGTCAACTACTTTGTATTAACACTGTAATCTCCTGGCTAATGTAACATCGTCATATACTAAATAAATCAATCTGCTATTCTGCTAACAGAATGATTCTGAGCAAGTGTCTCACACCTATCTTGATACATTGTTCTTCAGCAAATGTGCTGAACTTCCAGGATTATGAATATTTGTAGGAAGGTCCCCCCTCCCCAATTCTTGCTATATAAAAATGAAACGTGGCTGGAGAGATGAGAATGACCTCAGTAATTTCAAGAAGGCAACCAAAATTATCTCTCTTTTTGTCTTAATTAATGCTCTCTTAATCCATTTACTCCCATAGATATTTGGAAAATTTATATTATTCTGAATGCTCATAAGATATTGCAGTAATACATGCAATAAAAGCAGAACATTGGAAATTTAACATCATAACTATCCATCTATCCATCATTCAAGACCTCTGATAACTCCCTTCGTACTGTGAGGTTTGCCACCTACAGAGGAAAAGTAGAGAAAAGAAATGTAATTAAAAGCAATTGATGCTCAGAAGAACTTGTATTAAATCATATTAAATCACAGAGTTGAACAGTCATAATCATAATACATTCATTTCTGAGATTTGCAGTCAGTGCTGTGAGTTTGCAATCTAGACCGCGGAAATCCTAGAAGAAAGCATCAACCTAATTGTATCTTCATCTGACGCCTTCTTATCTATTAGTTTTGTTAAGAGCAGATATTCTTTAGTACAAGGTAGAGCAGATTTGCCTCAACTGGCCAATTTGTGGCCTAAAAAGATGGCTGCTCTGCATGAGTATGGTGCTTTTCTTGAGTGATGAAAAGGAACACACAACTTGTAACCAACAACACTAGACTAAACAACTGCCTCAATCTCATCTTCTGCAATAGTTCGAATTCAATTTGTGGAATACAAATTAAAGAACCCTTTTCCAACAGTGACCACAGCATGATTGATTTTGTCTCAACATACGTCCACACAAAAATCAACACAACGATGTGATCCCCAATTATAACTTCAAAAAAGGCAACTATGATCTTATAGACAACGACCTCTCATCCTTTGACTGGCAATTTCTATTCACTGGATGCAATACTGTAGAAGACCATTACAACATATTTTTACTTGAACTCAAAAGAGTCATCAGACTATATGTACCAATAACAACTCCAAAAACCAGAAAAAACAGATTACACATAACAATAAGGAAGCTTCAATCCAAAAAGAGGTCACTTTGGCGGAAAAACAAATCTGGTCACGTTGCCAACTTCAAAAGCCAATACAAAAATTTATGCCACCAGATAAAGACTGAATGCACCAATTATCACATTAAACAAGAGGAAAACCTTCTACACACCAATTCCACCCATGCTTTCTACAATTTTGTAAACAACAAACTAAAAGACTCAAAGTCCATCCCACTCCTGAAAGGACCTAATGGTAAAGACTGTAATGACGACACCATTAAAGCCAACCTCTTTAACACATTCTTTGGCTCAGTATTTGTAAACAGCAATGTTCATGCCCAGTATTTCCTAGTTAAACCACAGACAACTATAATGATCTAATACATATCGATTTTACAGAAGACAATGTTGAAAAAGCACTACACAATCTAAAAATATTTTTATCTATTGGACCGGACAGAATATGTGTCTACTTCTTAAAAAAGCTATCCATTGCCATAGCCGAACCTCTAAGCATAATCTTTCAGGACCAGCTCCTTGCCAAAACTATGGTCACAAGCCACAGCCATCCCCATCTTCAAAAAGGGAGACCCCAGCCTAGTTGAAAATTACAGACTAATCTCTTTATGCTGCGCCACCTGTAAAGTCATGGAATCAATTATTAACCAATCCATTATCCTCCACTTAGAGACAAACAACCTACTCACTAATAAACAATTTGGTTTCAGAAAAAACTATCCTGCAATCTGCAACTCTTACACTGAAAAACATATGTACTACACAACTTGATCAGGGCAAAGCAATAGATGCAATCTACATAGACTTCTGTAGAGTCTTTGATTCAGTGGTACATGACAAACTACTCCTAAAACTGAAATCTTATAGTATCTCTGGACACCTGCATAACTGGATAGAAGCATTCCTGTCAAACAGACATCAAATGGTCAAAATTGGGAGTGTCCTATCAAATTCTGTACCTGTCAACAGTGGTGTCCCCCAAGGCAATGTTCTAGGACCAACTCTCTTCATACTCTACATAAATGACTTCTGGGATCATATTAAGAGCAACTGCATTCTCTTCGTTGATGATGTAAAGCTATTCAACACCACAGACAATACTGCTACCCTTCAAAAAGACCTCGACTATGTATCAGAATGGTCAAACAAATGGCAACTTCAAATCTCAAAAAATAAATGCTCTGTCTTATATATTGGCAAAAAAAAGAAAAGAAAAGGAAATACAGGCTGAATAGTCAAGACCTTGTTGATGATACAAACTCTGTCAAGGATCTTGGAGTACTCATCTCTAATGATCTAAGTGCTAGAGCCCTCTGTAACTACATAGCCAAAAAGGCATTAAAAGTTGTTAACCCAATCCTACATAGCTTTTTCTCTGGTAATATCATTCTACTAACTAGAGCATACAAAAGATTTGCTAGACCAATACTTGAATACAGCTCATCAGTCTGGAACCCACATTACAAAACTGATATTAATACAGTTGAAAAAGTCCAGAAATATTTCACAGGAAGAGTTCTCCACTCCTCTACTCATTGCAGAATACCTTATGCCACCAGACTTGAAATTCTAGACCTAGAAAACCTAGAACTATGCCACCTTCGGTCTGATCTAAGTATAGTATATAAAATTATACATTGCAATGTCCTACCTGTCAATGAATACT